ATAGAAAAATATGACCCAAAATGTGAATTACCATCAGTCAGGAAGCAATAGTGGAATTGAGCCAAAATCATGAAAGCTATAATTCACTTTTCTCTGTGAGTAATACAGGCTGTCATCACATTTCTGTATCATTCAATCACATAATGTGTAGTGTCCATCTATACAGACAACTAAAAATGAGTTGCATGCAGTTCTCATTTTGTCATTTCTATTACTTCTGTTCACCACAATCAAAATTTATAAATGCTTTTTTACATCCTGTTGTTGACATCTTGTTAACTAGGGAAGCTAATGGGGCAATTGGTGAACAAAACAGTATTGAGAAGAAGCATCTTACCTACTCACAAAGATCCAGACACCCACACACAGAGAGAGGAAACAGAAGAGGAACAGCCTAAAGCCTCTGCTATCTGGCCAACTTGCTGTATGTAACTGAAAGACACTGATACATTGCAGGGGTATGAGCCGTCATGGTGCTCTAGAAATTCTGAACAGATATTGTAAGTCAACTATCTGAAAATGCTTCGCTTTAGTCTTTGTCTTTTGAATCAGTGTAATATTTATTACCCCTTCTAATTCTCCTAATTGAACTTTTTCCCATTTTTTTGTTGTGAAAAATCTCTAACATACTGAAAAGTATAAATAACATCTCAAGACCTGTGCTTGAGAAAGTTTTGTTCAATTAAAAATCTAGAACAGGGGCTGGGGATATGGCTCAAGCGGTAGCGCGCTTGCCTCTCATGCGTGCGGTGCGGGTTCGATCTTCAGCACCACATACGAACAAAGATGTTGTGTCCGCCGAAAACTAAAAAAAATAAATAAATACTAAAAAAAAAAAAAATCTAGAACAGCACGATTTCTCTACATTTTGCAGTAGTTGACAAGACCCACTTTCCAAAACATAGCAGATATATAATTTTAAATGAGAAAGCACTAAAACTGCAGCTTCACATATTTCTGTCAATATACATAAGATATTCTGAAGATCTAGAAAATAATCAGCCTCCCCTATTTTACTGAACATTTATTGAGAGACTACTACGTGCTAGATGCTGGGGAGGATGTTAAATGCTAGAAGATGAGTAAGATATGGTCCTGCCCCACTGGAGCTCACAGACCATAGAGAGGAGCCAGTATGTAAAGATCCATGCAGTACAATGTGACTTCGAAGTGCAATGAGGGACCAGGGGAGAAAACAACCAACTGTGTGTGGTTCAGGACTTCATATGACTGAATTATGTCTGATGGAAAAGATGATTTCACACAGAATAAACAACAGATACAAAATTCAAGCAATACCAACAACATAGGTTTGAAGGAATGGCTGTATTGTCTGATAATAGGATTTTTAAGCAGAAAAGTGATACCTGATTGATTTTTTAAAGACTTTCTTTTTTTAATTTTTTCATAGTTGTAGATGAACACATGGCTTTATTTGTTTATTTTTTTATGCAGTGCTAAGGATCAATCAGTGCCTCACAGGTAGTAGGCAAATGCTCTGCCACTGAGCTGCAGCCACAGCCCCTGATTGATTTTTAAGGAGAAATTTTTATCATAATGAATGGTTGGGGCTGCAGGTGAGGGATTAGAGATAGGAGTGCCTCACCTCTCTTGGAGCGATGGAGTAGATGCAGTTACTTACTAAGTGTGTACTGCATGCCACACCAGTGACATAATAAGCAGCCTAACAGCCCCTGCCATCACTAAGCTTATAGTCTGATACAACCATTAGCTTGCTTCCAGTTGTCAACAAATAATCTTCTATTCTAATTCCATCTAGTATCTCCTCCCTAATCTTCCAGATTTCTACTTTCTAATAGAAAGCTGCTCTATTGGTTACCTCCCATAAGAACCTAACACAGTTTCTCTGGCAAAAGAAACCACATCTTGTTTTCTTTACATCTTCTAGAGCTGGGATTGTCTGAAATATCATAAGATTTCAACAATTCAATGAATCCTTGAGACATTTAGGAAGAGAACAGAAATGGGTGGCCTATAGGATATAGTGGGTATGAAAAAAAAATGGAAATGGCTTCCAATCTTTTGGTCGTAGGTGACAACAAACAAAAAAACAATATAATCAGATGAGGTAGAAATATCAAAGGATGAGTGGGATGAGGGGAGAGGAGAGAATGAATTCATTTCTGAAATGCTAGGCGCTAGGTGTCTGTGATGCAGTTGATGTACCTCTCAGTCTTCAAATCTTCACATGTGATCCAGTTGAACTTCTGATTTACAGGGGCATGAAGACAACCCGAATTGTTTTATTGTTGAAAAATAAATTGCTTAATACTATTAACCAGAATTTATAATGTTTAAAAAATTATTTTTTCAGAGCTTGCTCCCCTAAATATATACTACTTCAAAGGTATCCCTTTGGGGGCTTTTTGTTCATTTATTTCATTTCTGGGTGTTTTTTTTTTTTTTTTTTCAGTATGAGGGATTGAATCCAGAAGTACTCTACCACTGAGCTACATCCCCAGCCTTTTTTATTTCTTATTTTAAAACAGGGTCTCACTAGTTGCCCAGGCTGACCTCCAATTTGTGATTCTCCTGCCTCAGCCTCCCAAGTAGCTAGGATTACAGACTACATGTACCTCTAGACCTGGCTGGATTTATTTAAAGTAATTCAGATAGCATCATTTGAACAAAGAAATAATAACTTGAACTTCTGCCAGTAATATTGGTCAGAGAATTTAAAAGTCATATGATAGAAATAATGAGAGTAGGGGAATACCCAAAAAAAGATAAAACTAAGCCAGAAAAGAAAATAGCAGTAAGAATTTTTAAAAATATAAAATTTTTATATTTCTTTGAAATATACTGTTTCCTTTTTTATGTTGTGATGGGGATTTTTAGTTTTTTTCTATTTGTTTTTTATTTTTTGTTTCCTCCCACCAACCCCCCTTGGGCTATGATTCAAGTATCTGCTTTTATGTAGAATTATATTTTAAACTTTAAAGAGTTGCATGTAGTCCTATTTGACAGCCTAAATTAGTTCTTACAATAATGCAAGCTTCCATATGGGATTGTATAGTTAATATATTATTAATAAAATAACCACTTAAATAAATTTGATTCCTCTGCTATTTTAAAATTCATTTGTCTCTCCATTTGGTTCTGTAGTAAAAAACTATAAACTGCTATCCTCACAAAGTAGAAATAATGGTATATCTCTTTTTCCTTTTTATAGCTATTTACCTTTAATTCTCTTGTGCAGAAGTATGAATGTTTTATAAGATTTTATAACAATTCTAAGTTTGTCAAATTCCAAGTTATGTAAAAGACTTAATCATGCATTGTGCTACACTTGGACTAGAATTATAAAATATATGTATGTGCAGTTATTTTCAAAACCACAATACATTTTTAGGGAAAAAAATCTTTTAAAATATTTTCTTTACCATATAGTCTTCAGCGAGCAGAGAAGGGCTTTTCTGAAGTGAGATTAGACAATAGAGCCAACTTCATTTTTTATGCACGTGAACGAAGAGGGCTTGAGGTTATTAGTTGAAACCGAGTAACCTTTCCTGGCTTTCATCTCTTTCTTTTCAAATTTGAATATGAAAAGCATATTCAAGTCAAAGACCATCACTTTAATGACATTTGGCAGTCATTTGATTTATTAGGTTTTAGAAAAAATTTTCCTTTAAATATTTCATCATACTATGCTAATCCTAGTAATATTGCCAGCTGCAGCCTTGTACCTGTATTAGTGGAGACAGAATGGTGTGGAATTTTCTCTGTCATCCTAGTAAAATTTCCATGAATCTACTGAATAATAAAATAACCTTATTGAAATATTCAGATTTGAGTTTTTAGTTAAAGTGTCTTAGAATACATAATAAAAGAAAATGTCTTTTGAAAGAAGGGGGTAAAATTACTTCATCAAATATTGAGGGGGTTTGACAGCAATGGAAATTATTCTTTATGAGAATATTTTTACAATAAGATACTTATGCTTTCCAATTTGATTAATTATATGCTCTGAAATATCTCTGTAATCAGTATAGTCAATTTGCACACTGATGTACATTTAACAACTAATTTCCAAAAATTGGTTGTATTAACGGGTCTTATTTGGGGATTTTTCATTGCTATTTGAAGTTATATAATTTATAATGGCATGTCTCTGAATTTACTAAAGAGGAATTTTGACAATACAAAGCCAGATTTTAAATTGTAGAAAACAAATTTCACTGAGGAGTTATTTTGGTGTGAACTAATTTTTAAATTGTTGTCTATTATTTGAAATCATTACTCAAGGAAAAAATTGTAACTCTCATCTAATGTCTGTGACACCGATATCTATTAAATGAGCATTGAAGGAAAAATTAAGCAAATATCATTTTAGTGGTTAATTCTGTGAATGTAAAATAAAAAATAAATTGTTAAGAAAATATGTATTAAATTAGATACAAAAATTTTCTTTTATTTGAAAATATATTACTTATTGAATCAAATATATTGTGGCAGAATATATGAGAATTAGCTGTAGATTCTGCTGTAGCTAATGTAGATTCATATAGCTACATATATTAGCATAATAGTGATAAAGTGTTCAATAGGCTTTGATCTCTGAATAATTGAAACTTTCTCAGGTACTGTAGATTAAATAAAAGCAGTGATAAACATGTATTTTATTACATAGTTTGAAACAAAGCCAACTGATACTTGTCATTCTGAAAGCAATAGGAGATGAAGATCTCATAATCGTCATTCCTGATAGACTACTAGTGGGGTATTTATAGCCACAGATGTAAATCAGGAGACTATCGCCATGGCACTGTTAACTTCAAACCCTGGGGCATTAGAATCTCATTCTCTCTCTCTCTGTCGTGAATAATCTGTCATATGTAACATACAGTAGCATACAGTGCATTCCAGAAAAGAAACCATTGGCCTTTATATTTTATTTTAAATTGATAGTGGAAAAGAATAAATAATTTGTTCGCTAGATTTTGTTTTCTTGTTGATTTTTGGTTTTGCTCTTTAAACAGCCATCAGAGAAAATTCGGATTGAGATCATAGCTTTAAAGCTTAATGATTCTCCAATAACCACAGATGACACTATCCAAAGGCTATTCATTGAGTGCCGATTCTACAGTCTCCCTGCTGAAGAGACGCCTGTGTCGCTTCCAAAACCCAAGAACGGGCAGTGGGTCTACTATAACTATAGCAATGGTATGTATGCTTTATTTGTAATACAGACTCTTAGGTTTCTTATGTTGTCTATGAAGGAAATTAAAGACAAGCAGGAAGTTTAATTCTCTGTTCTTCCCATAAACTCATGGAATTCTTATCAGGATAGATTTAAGAAAAGCTAAATCTACAGCATAAGGATAAGAAAATAAAGTTGAAGTACTACTAAAGAGAAAACCAACAATATTGGAAAATAGTGTGTCTAGCTGTCCCAGGTTTATACTGGGACAATACCAATAGGAAAATACCTCTGAAGTCTGCAGTTGAATGTGATAGAAAAACATGATTTTTCAAAGGAGGAAAGGTACTTGTTTTTTAATCATATCACTCAAATCATTCAGTGTCCTAACTTGTCCACCTTTCTGATCAGTATCATCACAAATGCTTTTATAATACATGACCTGCCCTTCCCAGTGCCTCATGTTCAGGATGTTAGCTGAGGGGAGCAGGGGTTCCTCCAGCGCTGTTTCCTCAGCATCCCACACAGCCATGCATTGCAGCAGGCAGATTTTCTCTCTAGCACTTCAACTCTCAGCCAGTTGACAGGTCAGTCTACCGGGCCCGCACAGATCAACAGGCACTCTGTAACTTCTTAGATCAATCATCATTAAGACGTTTTTTAAGAATACTACAGATCATCAGTGTACAATTAGAGAAATAAAATTAAACATCATACCAAAGCACTGCAACTAAGGAGTCCTAAGTTAAAACGTGTTGTAAAGACAGAGTGTTGCTTTATCTTCAGCAAAACAGGTCATCTCGTGCTACTTAAACACGAATACTTTCTCTCACCAGTCTTAGAAATTGCATTCTAAGAAATATGTGTAATCATGCTGCTGTATCACCCTGTGCTTACCTGGTTTTTTGTTGGTGGTGTGTTTTGTCCAGCATTTTTAGAAATGTGTTCATTGCTTGAGACAGTAATCTTGAGTATTCAAAGATCCGGTCTAGTCCTCCTGCTATCCACAAATCTTACTAATTATATGAATTTAGGCAAGATGTTTAAATTTCGTGATACCTCATTTTCTTATCTAAAAAAATGAAGTGTTTTCTGAGCTCAAATTCTATAACTGTATAATAACAGGTGGCTTGAGAAATCACATGGGAAATAAGTAGTGTGGTCAGGACCAGAATCTGCTTCCTCCTTCCTTTCATTCCCTGGATACAAAAGAAACATTTCCAAACATCTTTTCTCAGGCTTCTTAGAGATCCTTAATTGCCAAATATCAGAAAAGTAAACCATATCAAAATATTATTAGGTAAGGAATACTGTTCAGTTATCTATTTTAAAGGAAGACATCCCAAGAAAAGAGAAAATTTATTTGGCTTTTATATTATTATTTGTAAATATCAACAGTAGAATGTTTATTTGGACTGATAACAGAGTTGTTTTTTGGAAATTGATTGTACATTGAGAAACTTGGCCATGTAGCAGAACAGATGTTTCCATTTGTATAAAGAACAATGCAAAAGTCCTTCTTTGGATAAAGCCTGTGGTACATGCTCAAAGTGCCCTGGATTGGGTACACTCTCACATGACTACCTAATCTGAGAGTTTTGTTGTTGTTGTTGTTGTTGTTGTTATTGTTTGGTTGTTTTCAGCTTGTTTCCTTTACTACAAGGTCCCTTACTATCTAATTGATATTTAAAGAGTTGCATATGTTTCTAGTGAATTCACCATTCCTTAGCAAAAAAAAACAATGATCTATTAGAAATTAATTCACCAGAGTATTCACTATACTTTTCTTCAGTTTCTATTATTAATAATGACATTTGACTATGTAGAATTTTTAATATTAATTGGAGAGAATTTTAAGGTTATTTAACTAGGTGAAGGGGGAGAGGAATGTACTCTGCTTAGAAGCAAAATAATACTGCTTTATATTTGTTATACCTGAGAAAATGACATCCTAGGTCATCAGCAAGTTTGAGAAACTAGTATTAACCTTGCTGAAGGTTTTATTTTATTTTCCATTTAAGTATTACACAATGAAAATGTTTATTTTAAGTTATTATATGGTCATTGCTGTCATGAAGATTCAAGGGAAATCTCAGATCTTTGGTTGATAAGCAACTATTTCATCTAATATTGTGATGATTTACCCTTCATTTGTTCCTTGGTGTAGAAGGTCAATATAATGTAGCTTTAAGTCTTCTAAATCTCATTAAATGTTAATGAAAGTAATTTTGTGTCCAAACTGACTTTTTAATTCAAATGGAAAATCGGGAGGACAGTTAGTACATGCTGTGTCCTGTCTGATCATCATACCAACAAAGAGGTTAGCTGAACCTAGCCATGATTCCACCCTAAGAGATGTAGACTAGTGATCCCCAGGATTATTAATAATCAGACTTAGTCTTTATTGAGAAGTATTAATACCAGTTCCACCTACTCAAAACTATATTTTCATATATAGATAGATAGATAGATAGATATAGATATGGCTGATATGAACATTATACATTATATATATATATATATATATATATATCTTCAACATCACATGGTACCCCATAAAGATATATAACTTTTATCAATTAAAACCCATGTATTAAAAAAATCTCTCACTTCTGCTTGGAGAAATCCTTATATTCTCTATCAATGTCATATGCCAGAAGAAATGCAGATGGTTTAATTATAAAAGGTTGATAATTTTGAATCTTAGATAAGTTTTGCATTAAAGTATTCTCATCCCTGTAATCGTTATCATTGCCAAATTCTTCCTCCCATTAGTAACAAAATCTGATGCTCTACATCCTTTTCATCTTCTGAATTAAATTTTAATTGTTCCAAAAGATAGACTGTTCAATCCTCGGAGACTAAGGGCACGTATCTGTATAAGTCTCATAAGAACTCTGGACGATTTCATTAATCTTTTTTCTTCCCACTGTCAGTTCCCTAGAAGGCTTTATTCAGCCCAGACAGCATTCTTCAGACCTACCATTAATCTTTTCTTCCCCAAACTATTTTCTTGCTTTCTCAGCATTCTCTGAGCAAAATTTTCGAGCCCAATAAAATACAAGTGTTTTGTTCTTACTACCAATGTCTAGCAAGTGATTTCAACTTTAGTTTTTCTAGTTTTGAGTAGGTGGAACTGGTATTAGTACTTCTCAATAAAGACTAAGTCTGATTATTAATAATCCTGGGGATCACTAGTCTACATCTCTTAGGGTGGAATCATGGCTAGGTTCAGCTAACCTCTTTGTTGGTATGATGATCAGACAGGACACAGCATGTACTAACTGTCCTCCCGATTTTCCATTTGAATTAAAAAGTCAGTTTGGACACAAAATTACTTTCATTAACATTTAATGAGATTTAGAAGACTGACTTAAAGCTATATTATATTGACCTTCTACACCAAGGAACAAGTGAAGGGTATATGTTGTAGTGTATATATCTTTATATAGATATAGATATATACATTGTATAATGTTCAAATCAGAAAAACCTTATGTATCTTCTCCAACATTTATAATTTTCTTGTAGTGAAAACATTCAAAATCCTTTCCTCTAGCTTTTTGGAAATATACAGTATATTATCATTATCTATATTCATTCTACTGTGCAGTAGAACAGCAGAACTTGTTTCTCTTATTTAACTATAATTTAGTACCCACTAATCAACTTTCCACATTCCTAATTCCCTTCTACTGTCTCAAGCCTCTAGTAACCACTATTCTACTCTCAACTTATGTAAAAATTAGCTTTTTTAGATTCTACATGAGTGAAGGCATGCAGAATTTATCTTTTTTGTAACTGGCTTATTCACTTAACTTAATGATTTCCAGTTCCACTCATATTGTCAAAAATGACAAGGTTTTGTCCTTGTATTCCATTGCATAGGAGGGTTATGTTCTTAATGATAGACAATTGAAGATCAACTCAAGTATTTTGACTACTTGTTTGTATCCTTTTTGAGACATATGCTTTCATTAAGTTTATATCAAAATCTAGCAAGTTCTAGCCAGGCACAGTGGCACAGGCCTATAGTCCAAACCAGTCTCAACAAATAGTGAGAACTTCATCAACTTAGCAAGACCCTGTCTTGAAGTAAAATAAAGAAGACTGGGGATGTAGTCAATGGTAGAACAACCCTGGCTGGGTTCAATCCCCAGTAAAAAAAAAAAAAAAAAAGAACTAGCAAGTCCTAAATAAATGTGAAAATGTGATTTTTAATAGAAATGAAAGTTAAGTAGCTTAGCTTTTGGAAAGTTCTTATACTTTTAATAATTACCAGAATCTCCTTTTAAAGGATGTATTTGAAGTCTTAAATTTGTAAAAATTCAGATATTCAGAACAGGAAATGAATTATGGTGAAGTATGGTGCTCATTGGATCACAGGATCATGACCTGATCACAGGTAGCAAAGTGTCCCTGTTTTCCATAGTCTTCAAAACAAGCTATTCAGTATTTTCCCATCCCACTTAAAAATTTGTCAAACGAATGTCAGGCTAAACAGTGCTTCTCAATGTGTGGTGCCTGACCAGCAGCAACAGGAGCTAGGCACTTATTAGAATCGTACACTCGGAGGCTCTACCCCAGGCCTGTTGAAACAGGAACTCTAAGGATACAGTTCAGTAACTGCACTTCAACAAGACCTCCAAGGAATTATGATGCACACTAAAGGTTTGGGCTAAATTAAGAAGCTAGTGTATGCTTGTACAAGCAGAAGTGCCTTACTTCTACTTTGGTAGCCTTTTGGAGAAATAAGCTTACTGTCAAAAAACTAGAATTTTTTTTCAAAAAGAAATTTTTTAAGAAGTTTTCAGTCAAAAGATTGTATTTAACTATCTAGATTAAGTGTTTATAATATCTCCCTTTTATGAAAGAGTGAAAGGAAAAGAAAATGAGGTCACTTCTCTTGATACAGTTATATTGCTCTCTCCCACTCCCACTTTGTGCTTTTAACAAAATGCCCACATCTTAAAAAGCAGGATGAGTTTGGGCTTCATATGGAAGGAGAAATATAGCATGGAGATTAAGAAAGCAGGCTGGGGGACTGACATTGCCAAATTCAAATTCTGACTCTGTCACTTTATAACTTGGGTATCTTGGACAAATTCCTAACCTTCTCTGAGTCTCTTTAATCATCTGTGAAATGTGGGTCAGCATGGTTCCCAGCCCATGTGATTGCAATAAAAGTATATAGTACCTAATACTTAAGTATCAGTCAATAAATTCTAGCTACCATTATTTTTAACTTTAAGAGAATAGAAAATATAGTATACTGTCCACTTGAATGAAGTAGAAGTACAAGGAATCCCCAACTACACCATTTTTATTGTTTGTTTGTTTGTTTAACCAATTTATACAATGAAGTTTTTTTTCCTTAAGAAAAGATTATATAAAGTTTCACCATATGGTTTGGCAATTCCACTTCTGGGAAAATACTAAAACAAATTGAGAGCAAGGACGCAAAGAGATGTTTATTTGTTTTTTTGTTTGAATGTTTGTTTTGATTGTTGTTTGGTGATTTATATTTGACCCTTTTTTATTTTCCACATTTTACGTTGGTACATTATAGTTGTACATAATGATGGGATTCGTTGTTGCATAATTGTTTGTGCACACATTGTACAAATATAATTTGACCAATAACACTCCCCAGCACTTCCCCCACCCCCTCCCCGCCTTCCACCTCTTGGTCCCTTCTTTCTACAAATCTCCCTTTCATGTTGGGAGATCCACACCCACCTTTCTTTTTCTCTTTGTTCTCTAGCTTCCTCAAGAGACATGTGACCCTTGACCTTCTGAGGCAAACATATTTGTACACTTATGCTCACAGTTGTACTATTCACAGTACCCAAAAGCTAGAAATAACCCAGATGTCTATTACGAGATGAATACATAAACAAAATGTATGGTATATGCAGACAATGGAAAATCATTCAGTCTTTTTTTGGTGGGGTGTACCAGGGATTGAACTCTGTGGCACTCGACCACTAAGTCATATCCCCAAACCTATTTTATATTTTTTTTAGAGACAGGGTCTCCCAGAGTTGCTTAGCACCTCACTTTTGCTGAGGCTGGCTTTGAACTGGTGATCCTCCTGCCTCAGCCCCCTGGGAATACAGGGGTGTTCCACTGAGCCTGGTTTACTCAGTCTTAAAAAGAAATAAATTTGATATATGCTACAGCATTAATGCCAAGTGAAATAGCCAGATACAAAAGACAAATACTGTATGATTCCAATTAATGGAAATACCAATATTAGTCAAATTAATTAAAAAGGAAAGGAGTGGTTGTTGGTGGCTAGGAGAGAGGGGAATGAGAAATTGTTGTTTAATAGGTACAGAGTTCCCAGTTTGAGATGATAAAAAAATTCTGGAGCTGGATTGTGGTTGGTGATGGTTGCAGCTAGAAGGTAAATGTAACTCATGCTACTGAACTGAGCATTTAAAAATGGTAAAATGGTTAATGTTAAATATATTTTACCACAATTTTTTTTTAAGTTTTAAGCCATTGAAATTCATCAAAAGTGTCTAGGTTTGATTGAAAGACCTTTTATTTATGGTAGATGTTAATACTCAGTCTTTTTTCCCCCCTTTTTAATCACTGTGATTGCCCATGTCTTCAAATGATATAAACTAGTATGACATAAAAGCCTTGTAACTCTGAAGTAAAAAAGGATATCATATACTACTTCTTGAAATAGTGATCAACAGCAAAAACTAACAAACAAAAAATCCCATTTGAAAAAAAAAGTTGCTATTTAGCACTGTCTACCAGCGTCTTGTAAAAATGAAATAATACCTCCCAGCATTAGTGAAACTCGTCTGTTAACAAGACTTTTTGGCCTTGATAAGTAAAACAAAATTCTCTGAACTTTTGTCTTTATTGATTTCTGTTAATCCCAGTGAACTATTAAAAACTATAAAAAATGTGACTATATGATCACATTTACTGATATGATGTCATGCCAAAAGCAATGCGCCAGGAGTCACTGTTTGGCCTTTGTTCTCCGGATTTGGTTACTAACCTGTGTGTCAGTGATTCTCGTTTCTCGTAAACCACTCACCCACCTCTACACAGACGTCTTTATGTCTCCCACTCCACATTCCTACCTTGGTACTGGACACATCTTCAGCCCTCAGTTAGTATTTGCTCAACTGAGCCAATTAAAATAGTTGATATTATCATAATTTGGAATGGAATTGAAATTGTCCGAGGAAACACTTCCAATATGGAATTTGTTTGTTCCTGGCAGAGCCTGAGGAAAACTGGCTTTAGAATTGTCATAGTATCTTTCACCCTATGTGCACTTTTGATCAGGGATAATCTCTAAATTGAGATCTGGTCACAGGGGAGCCTTTACATCCAAAATGGCAGCTGAAAAAGAAATGTCTTCAGAAGCTAAGCACGGCTGAAAGTCTGCCTGGCTGAGAAAAAATAATCGGTGAAAATTGGAGTGTTCACACTCTACAATGCCACTTCCCAAAGTGCAGAGCTTGCCTGCAATGTCAAGTGCTTACCACCTCCTTCCTGGTGTACTTTAGATCAGTGATCTAATCTCCTGTTGCAGCTAAGTGGAACTTGGCCACCTTCCTGTATGCCAGCATGTACCTTAAAAACCAAAGACAACTTGGCACCTTAAAAAGCCTCTTCTCCCCTTCCTCCACTCTTCTCTCCTGTACCCTCCACCCACACACCAGCACACGGCAGCCGTGGGTTTCCTCAGCCTGGTACACTAGATGCCTCTTTTATTGCATGTTGTGGCAGGAGAGGAGGATTAAATTACTGAGGCTGTCAGAAAGGACAAGCACTCTGCCATACATTATCATTATCACTCGCTTCTTGGGTGAAAGAAAATGCAGTAAATCCCTCAAATACAAAGCAATAAAGACCGCTGGCTTTTACTGTCATGACTGCCAGTGCCATTAACAGGCAGTGACAGTGATGTGGCACTCTTAGATGTTGCTTGTATCTTTTCTGACAGTGTGCACATAAACCTGCCAGTGACATGACATTAGATCACATGACTATTCAGACTTGATTCTGGTTTCTGGAGCTGTTTTCTTTTCCCAGGCATACAAGCAAGGTGGCATAACTTGTGTCTTTAAAAACAGGTATTTATAAAAATACAGAATGTCCTAATGTGGCATATTCCTGAGTGACTTCTTCTTGTGCATTTTTTTTCTTTTGATATAGTGATCTACGTGGATGAGGAAAACAACCAAGCAAAGAGAGACATCTTAAAAGCTATACTACAAAACCAAGAAATGCCTAATAGAAGGTATATTTAAGAAGTTTGAATTATCTTATGTTTTATATAGAGTAGATAACTTTAGCATGATGTGGTTTAAAAAAGGGAAGGAGGCAAAGATGAGAAATCAGAACATATGGGTTCTCTGACTCACTCTGTGTGCTTGAGTGGAGTTCATGACTTCTCTGGGTCTCTTATCTCCAGTGGCCCTGCCTATCAGACAGACTGACCAACTGTGGGGATGCCAAGTGCTTTGAAGACCAGAACGCTGTGTAGTGTGTAGAAAGTATAACGTTGCCGTTCAAGTGTAACTGTAAAGGACTCAACAGTTGAAGGAAACACCACAGACTGGGGTTTAAATTTCTGTTCCATCACCTACTTGCTGTCTGACCTTGGACAAATTACTCAGCCTCCTGTGCTTCATTCTCTTCATCTGTAAAATGGAGATGATGATGATGCTGTCTAGGGTTGCTATGAGGACTAGATGAGATGTGTGTAACACGGATAGAACTGCACCTGACACACAGTACGCAGTGAATGTCCACTGCCTTCATTGTTAAGCAGTAGCATTTTGAACAGCTCATCAGCCTTTCAGACTGACTTGAATCTTACTATCTTGTTTAATAATTCATATTATTTTCCAGATGCCTTTTTTTATTTGAATAGGACACTTTGCAATTCTGGTTAGTAGAGTAGATAAATCCTTTTCATAAGGAAAAGACTGATCTTAAGAAGTTAATATTTTCTGTGTGAGCTCTGTCCATGTCAGCCCCTGAGCTATTTCACCAGTGTTTTTCTGGCTCCTCTCCCTTGGCCTGGGTAGACCCTTTATCAGTCCATTATCCTCTTTTCCTTGCCTTTGTGACCCCGAGATTCCATAGCCTCAAAAATGATGCTCATCTGAGAAAGAGAAAGTGAATGTTAAAGACACTATGTTCGGGGCTGGGGTTGTGGCTCAGTGGTAGTGCACTTGCCTGGCATGTGTGAGGCACTGGGTTCGATCCTCAGCACCACATATAAATAAATAAAATAAAGGTCCATTGAATTTAAAAAAAAAAAAAAAATTTAAAACAAAAAAAGACGCTATGTTCTTCAAAAGAGCTTCCAATCTAGTATTTTCTGTTTCAAGAAGGCAGACTGGAATTCTTAGCTCTCGGGATCTAAGAGTACCTTTCTCGTTGGCTTCTTGAAATAGAGGTTCTACTTTTTCCAGGATTCTAATCACTCCAGTTTGACTTGTCTAATTCCCATTTTTCAGCTTCTTTCAATACCCCCCATAAACCCCCAGTCTCCCAGAGGTATCCCAGCAGATCACCAACCTCACTTTGCTCCCCGCCCAGGTCTACAAGGCAGCTAAGCCAACAAGCCCAGCCATCACTGATAGGGTTGAGCTCTGTCCCCATGTGCCAATCCTGGACCAGGCTTAGTAGTCTCTTTAGTCCTTTGTCTTCTCTGTGTCCTTATTGTTTCTGGAATGATAGAGCATGTTGTAAGTGACACTACTCCTTGAGGGAAAATGACTTTGTTTCTTCAAACATGTGGGAGGTTTTTAATTATTTTTAAAAGGCAGATACTTTCCTTTCAAACCTGCCTTTGCTCAGAAGACCCACTTGTTTATACCATAATAGGTAAAAAGAAAAAAGTCCATAGTAACTGTGATGACGCCCCCTGCCATCATTGCTTCTCTAAGAAATGTCCAAACACCTCGCCACAGAGACATAAACATTTGTGTTCTTTTTTAGCAAAACTGAGAGAGGTGACACACTTGCCACAACTGTTGAGTGAGCACTTGGAGTGCTGACCTTCGTGGGAGAGGATGGCCTCTACCCTCCTAAGGAAAATAAGAGTGACATTTAGTTTTTCCAGGGCCAAAGCCCATTATTGTTCCAGTGCATGTTCTCAACTTTTCTAAGTACTCAGAGGTCATGTTACTTCACCTTACTTCAAGTAGCTCCAGGTTTATGATGGCTCACTCCCTCCGACTGCAGCCCTGGTCCATACTGGTGGTAACTTACAAAGCCACAGTAAGAGAAGTCTTCCAGTCCTCCTGGACATGTCTAAACTTAGAGACATTGCACAATTGTTTATAGCACCTTTCCACACTGCCCTGCACTATAATTGGAATTTACAAGTGACACCTTGAAGGAGAGGTAACATATGGAGATGGGACTTGAGAATGATTTACTTGAACTTATTGGTTTGACACTGACTCAGTTCTTTTAGTTTTAGTTTTTCTCTGTAGCAGTATTCTATTGAGCAGATCCACCACTGAGGAAGACAGGCTATGATAACAAGTAAACCAATTACATATTGTGACAATTAGTAATAGAGAATTTAAAAAGTTAAATGCTAAGAGAAAATGACAGTGATGGCAAATCCAAAGAGGTGAATTCAAGCTGATTTAGGAAGGGTGAGAGGACCCAGTTACTGCACAAGAGCCCAGGAAGGACCATCCCAGGCCAAGGGGATTCCAGGCAGGAAGTAACGTGCAGTGGGCATCCTAGGACCAGGCAGGACAGTTAGCAAGGCTGTTCTCTGTCGTCCCAGGAGGGAGAGGAGGAGCAGCTGGGGAGCACGATGCGCTCACCTCCACTGGGGACTGCCATCTGCTCCACTTACGTGCACAGCCAGGTCCTCAGCCTGGGAGCCTCTTGGGGACGCAGAACAGGTCTTGCCTCTTTGTTCTGGCAGAGCAGAGGTAAGATGTAAGGTGTCTGTGAGCACACAGTGTGGCCACACTGTTTTTACCTTTAAGATTGTTCCAGTGAACTTTCCTCCTTTTTGAGCTTAACTTTACAGTTTAACAATTTTATTTCTGCTATCTTATTTTGCTCTCTGTATAAAGGCAGAAATGTTTCATTTTTACACTTCTAGCCCTTTCTCTAGAATTGGGAACATTTTCTTTTTTCTCATTTTCTCTCAGATTTCTCTATTTTCTGTTCATCGGAAGTAATAGCCTGCATTTGTAAAGTGGTGTAGATATAATTCTTAAATGTGAGGTTAAAATTTATCGGATATAAAGATACATGAAATAACCAGCCATGGTGGCGCATGCCTGTTATCCCAGAGACTGAGGAGGCTGACCAGCCTCAGCAACTTGGACCTTAAGCAATTTAGCAAGACCCTGACTCAAAAATTAAAAGGATGATGGATGTGGCTATAGTAAAACAACCCTGGGTTAAAATTCTTAATACCAAAAAATAAGGAAATAAAATTTTTGTTAAAGATACTTAAAATACATGAAAACAGCACAACATTCCTGCAATCTTGGTAGCCTCTGTCTCTGCGTAAGTTTGTGTTGTAAAAGGTGTATCAGTTGTCATTTCTAGTTCCTTGCGTTCCAATCACGTTCATTTTAGGACAAATTCTGTGATCTTCAGTCATTTTGTTTAAATGAGTGATATAGCCAATGTATAATTTGGGAATCTGACTAACTTTTTAATTTAAACAAGATTTTCTCATGCCAACTCCTTTCTCTTCCCTACAAATATAGAAGCTAAAGCTGCTCTGCCTAGATTTTAAATAGGAATAATAAATGAACAAACATTTATTCAGTGTTTACTATGTTCCAATCACAGTTTACTCATATCTTCTCCAAGAACCCTACAAAATAGATATAATTATCCCCATTGCACAACTAAAGAAACTGAAATCAGAGATTAAATAATTTGTCCAAAGTCACACAGTAGAAAAGCAGGAATGTGAACCAAGAATGGGTGCCCTAAACCATGCCATCTTATTAATCCCTCTATTTTATATATTATATAAAATATACATTTTACCCACTTGGAAGGCCTGGGTCTGTACTCTTCATAGTCATTGTGTGAATAAGTGTTAACTTTGATTGTGACTTAGGGATTTCTATTTTCTAATCAAAACATTGCTAGCTAAAAACAGGAACTTCATAAAGGAATGAAAAGCTGAATGTTTATCTTTAGGAAATTGGTTAAAAATATTGTCATGTTTACCTATAAGCATTTGGAAAGGATTTTATTTGTATTTTTCAAGGCATGATTTCTCAGAGACTTGGATTTTTATGTTTCTTGTTTTGTTTCTGATTTGGGATAGATACATTTCGAAAGTTTAAGATGGTAAAGTTTACAAGCATCCGTGGTTTAAGCTATGCTGCCAAGACATATCAAAAGAGTACTTAACTGTAAATTCCTGTCATTTAGTCAATCCAAGTGTGTTTGGCCTCAACACAAGCCACTAATTCAAATCAGTTCCATCAGAACCCTACAATTATGTGTCTAAAAGTAAAATAAAACATGGATTCTATGATGGTAAGTCAAGAGATTGCTAAGTAATACAAACATTTGATATAGCTGTTGGGCAGAGCTACAACATTTATCTAACATGGTTCAGAATGTTGCCCAGGGAGCATGATCCCTACATTTTGTAGAACACACACAATTGGTTAAATTACTTAGTACCAACTCCAGAGGTTGTGCATTGCTAAAGAAAATGGGACATTTTTTTTTTCTGTAGAAAATGCTGATCATGTAACCTCATGGTCTTTATTCACTTCATCCTTTTAGTCTTAAAAGTTAAGATACCAAAACATTATCAGACCCAGGCATAGTGGCACATGCCTGTAAGCAAGGAAGCTGAGGCATAAGGATTGTAAATTATGAAGCCAGCCTCAGCAATTTAGTGAGGCCCTAAGCAAGACCCTGTCTCAAACTTTTTTTTAAAAGGGGTAGGGGTAGGGGGTGGGAATACGTAGTTCAGTGATAAAGCACCCTGGGTTCAATACCCAGTACCAAAATACATACACACATATATATGATTAGACGTTGCAGAATAGACCAAACATCCCGTCTTTCTCTTTGTCTTAGATTCTAGAATGCCATTTAGTGCTTAGAAAGTGGATTAATGTTCAGTTGAAGGTTAGGTATACTATAACAATTCTAATAGTTAATTTAAGAACTTAACTAACCTGCTGTAACTTTCTTTTATTGAGATCATTGGAAATGTCTGGATTTCATACCTAGTGGCAGTTTTGTTTCTTAGAGACTTCTCACTTGGTGGTGATTTTCTCTGTCCTCTGTTCTCAGTGTTCGTTTCACCGTTGTCACCGACCCCCCAGAGGATGAGCAGGATCTGGAGTGTGAGGACATTGGCGTTGCTCATGTTGACCTCGCTGACATGTTTCAGAAAGGGAGAGACATCATCGAGCAAAATATCGATGGTATGAGTGGAAGTGTTGCTCAGTTTGCACAACCAACAACTGCTAAAGTCCAACTGTTTATTAAAACCTCTGTGCTGGCTACAAGGGAGCTGAGTCACATCAACTGAGTCCTTTGCAACTCCAACTAATGTCCCCCTATATCTCTCCCCTTGCCCTCGCCCTCTGCTTTCCTTTAAACTGATAGAAATTTTAAAATAATTATTACCCAAGGAAGTATTCATTTTTTTAGTATGGGGTGAGAAGGTGAAAAAAGTTGAGTTTCGTTGTTGCTGCTGACATTGTTCATGGAAGTCTCATGTCAGCTATGGCACTTCACCCTTAAGAGTGATTAAGGTAGTCTCTTTCTCGAGTTTTCTCTGTAATTCAATGTTACAGCCCAGTGATTTAGTACCTCTAGCAACCAAGTAGGTTTGCTCACTCATTCCCCACCAGGACTCAACAGAAGTAGGGGCTTCCTGACAAAATCTGCTCTCTCAAGTTGTCATTTCACCAGATATGACACCCAACAGTGCTTCATTCCTACCTTCTCTTCCTATATGACATACTGATAACATGCTGGAAGAATTGTGCTTTATGAATCAGACTTTTACCAAGAGACTAGAGATGTAGCTCACTGGTAGAGTGCTACCAGTGGTTAGAGCCCCAGCAATGCAATTTTTAAAAATAAATAAATAAATAAGTAGTTAACAGACTTTTGACAGTCATAATCAGAGAAGGCCTGAGCTATTTACAATAAATGGAGAAATTCCCAAAAAATAAAAAGTAAAGATTGATTCCAATCTCATTTGTTAAGTTAGAACTGTCTCTGAAAAGATGTCCCTAGCTTATTTACTTCCTGGCTCATGCATTCAGCATACACTTAATTGAGCACCTCTTAAGTGCCATGCATTGGTTCCTACATGGAGCTGCTTGTCCTGGATGTGTGTCAAGTGCTCAAAAGTTAGAATTTATCCAAATAACTAACCAAGTTCACCAAATAACCAGATTAGAAGACTGTTCTGGGAAATCCCTCCAAAGTATACATTGCTAACTTTTGGCAGTTGCTCATAACTTTGGCACTGAAGAAAAAGAGGAGAGGAATAAAATATTTATCCCAATCCCATTAAGGATTCACAGGATCAAGGGAGTCAGACAAAAGTGACTAAAACTATCTCTGCTTTATATTCTTGATCTCTATTTTTCCAATCGATTCTGTTTAGCAACCCACCTTCTCTTCCTGTGAGACAAGTGACAAAAATGGACTGACACAGTGATTGTTATGACCACATTTTGGGAACAAGCCAGAAGATTGGGTACTGGGTCAGGTCAGGATCTTAATGCCTTGTCATCTGTCACTTAGAAGTGAGCAGTCCCAAAGGAGAGGTGAAAACTCAGGAGAGTGAGCTGGGACCATTTGTGCCACTGTGCTCCCAGCTGCTCTTTCTCCACCTAAGCCCTCGTGTACCAAGTTTAGCTTGAAGGCCTCCTTACAGATTTTCTTGAAATTAAAATACACGCAGAGCTGAATGCAGTGGACAAGCCTGAGGACCCAGCTATAAGGAGGCTGGGGCAGGAGAATGACTTGAATCCAGGAGTTCAAGGCCAGCCTGGGCAGCATAGCAAAATCCCATCTCTTAAAACAAACACGCGCGTGTGAGCACACACACACATGCACACACACGTCGGGCACAGGAGTACGCGTCTATAATCCCGCTACCTGAGAGGCTAAGGCAGGAGGACCACAAATTCAAAACCAGTCTGGGCAACTTAGTGAGATGTTGTCTCAAAATAAAAAGGGTTGGGATGTAGCTTAATAGAACCCTGTTGGGTTTGATTCCAAATACTGCAGAAACACACGTACAAGCAGTTATTAAAGTTCAAGGAATATAAACAGGAAGTACAAAGACTCATAAGTGTTGTGAAACTTACAAAGTCTAGGATTCTGGCCTTGGACTACTAGGTCATTGTCCACAGAGTGTTGAATCAGCATCCTGCAGGGTCAAGCTTGGAGAAGTCCAGTGGCCTACTTTTGGGGCACCACTCAAAGCACTGGCCCCTCTGCTGAGAAAAGCCAGTATACATTCAAAAAGTTCCTGGGCCTTTGGAGCCATTCCATAGACTTAAGATTGCTGGGCCTACCGATTTGACTTTTCCTAAATTCATGTAGAATATACTTTAAATGAAATGTTTTCTTTGGAAAGGTAAATAACCAGTTCAAATCACAATCATGTGACCTCTTTACAGTGGTTTGCATTCTGAAATTTGTTATTATACTGGACATTAAAACAGATTCTACTTTGTCATCATATTTTAGTCCTTTTTAGACCTTTCATTTCTTACTAGCTTAGAAATTTCGATTCTGTGTGGGAATTGTCCAGAAGCTTTTTCACTAGGTAAACTTTAGGGTTAGATCATTAGTTTGAGCTCCACAAACAGTATGTACATGCAAAATATCTAAATTGCACATCTTCAAAGATCAGCTTTATGTTTTAGATTTCTGAGATGCCAGTGAATTTTAGGCTTTTACAAGAGCTCTTTTCATCTTCTCAACTACTGTTTCAGCTACTTCTCTCAAGAAACATCTGATGAATGGCACTAACACTTTTCTGCTCTTTTCTCCCTAGTTTTTGATGCACGAGCAGATGGTGTAGGTATTGGCAAGCTCAAGGTAACAGTTGAAGCTCTCCATGCCCTACAGTCTGTCTACGAGCAATGCAAAGGACTAGGAGTCTTAAAAGGACCTGCTCCAGAGGCATCTCCTACTTCTGAGTAAATGCTCACTTGAAGTTTCTGGATGAGATTGTGTGTAATTACTCTGGTTTGTATAATCTATAATTCATGGGAAGCAGGAGTCCTGGGTTTGAAATGTTCAAGTTTTGTATAGTTTTTCATTTGTTTATTTTGCTATTCCCTCCTTCCCCTGACTGCTGCCCCTCAGGACTTCAGTTCTCCACAATGGGCAGCACCTTCTCAATAATTTATACCTCATGATAGCATGAGAAAGCCTATTTGCATTTTCAACATTTTCTTATGAAGAACTGAAATGCAATTCCCATTTTTATTTTTAATAAGCAAAAACATAAATCTTAGAAAACCTATGAAAGAGAAGATACTTTTATGTTATCCCTAATCGTCCCACTAAATGGAATGCTTATGATTAGCCTCATTAAGAGTTTTATACTGTGAAGATTTTATTAGAAGCAATATATGAAAATTACTTGGATTAATGTGTTAATCTTTCTCTTTAAAATGCTAATATCCATTTTATGCACATTAAAGCTCAGTATGCATTTTCTTTGATGCATGCAGTTTCTATCAATTAAATATAAAGAAGGAGACTTGGCACTAACTTACTAGATTACTGCAAGTTTTTTGTTTTTCTTTCTTAAAAATTATAGTTCTTCCTGTTTGTATTATTTTCATGTATTCGTATTGGTGATAGGGGACCCAGGGATATATGTGTATAAAGAAAAATGATGGATAGATGGATGTGAAATTTACATTTTGAAAACTTAGCTCATGACATAGAAATTATTTAAAGTGTGACTCAAATTCCGATATGCTTAGTTAGACCTGAAAGGAGTATCTTTTTATCATGTTTTAAATTTACATCAAGCTTAGACAATGCTGGGGTGTATCTGGATAACCAGATCCTCAAAAAGCAGCTCAGAAAGTTAATTTTCTAGCTTTTACCCAATCTCACTGAAGGATTTAATTGATATTTTTAATGGAGCTGTGAATCAATGCTGCAAAGGAATTGTCTCTAGAGGTCTAGGATATAATGCATTTCATTTTTTAATTTACTTTTTTATTTGTCATTTTCTTCAAAGGATTTTTATAGGCTGTGGGTTTTCACTGTTTGCAAACAGGCTATGTTCCTTCTTAAGCATATGTAAAGTATTCAGGGAGATAAGTAATTTATTAAAATCTACCTAATTTGCCGTGATATATTAAATCTCTGCTTCAGTGATCACAGACCATTTCATTTAGAGAATTAGGCATTCCCTCTTTGTGTGATTAAAGCTCTGGAAAATGAGTTCTTTGCTCCTATTTGTGAACATTCAAAGCCTGCTAATGGCAAGAAGATGGAATAGATTATGAGACAATTCATTACAGTTCAACAGGAAAAAAAAAGCAGCTATAATGCAAAAATGCAAGTATGAATATCTGCATATAGTTTGAACCATCTGTGCTCTAATGGCTTCAATAATGACTCTCGTCTTTAGGAGGCTTTGAAATGACATCCGTACAATATTAATTTGTTGATGTACATTGCGGGACCAGTAGAGTATGATCTGACCACAGAAATCTATAAATTCTGTCTCTACCATTGAGCCTCCCTATCCTGGGGCCTGCCATCTCCAAGGAGAAGCTTGTTCTCATCAAACTCTGCAAATCTTCCTAACAGCTCATTCCTCTGGAACCTTCTAGAGACCACAAACATCTGCAGACAAAACCTCTCCAATCCTAGTAAACAACCACATGTTTGTTGTCACTTCAGCTGGCTCTGAGCTCATCTTTTTGGCCTCTCTTTCTAGCTTTCTTTGGCTTTATGCAGTTACAGTGTCATTAAGGCCCATAATATTCCCTCCAGTAATTTAAAACAGCCAGATTATACCCTGGGATTAACTGAGTGGTTTTTGAGACATTTATTGTGGTATTCTCCCAGGAGGTTTGTATTATTGTTTTAAAATGTTACATCCCAAACTAAATACCCTTTCTATAGGGAAAAGAACTGGATTGCACTGACTTCTTAGGATCTTCAAGTAAAGAGGGCAAGTTTTTATTAGGAAACTTCTGGGAGCTATTCAGCGGTACAGAATGTATGTCTCAGATAAGATTAGAGAATTAGCCATGTTTCTGTTGTGTTCATGTGTACTAGAATATAATATCAAAGACTTCTCTTCTGGTTTTAAAATACTCAGCTTCAATTCTTGCACACTTTCACAACATTCATTTTCACACACAATGGCTGCTGACACATATCAAAGTGTGTCAGTAGTATTGAGTGCTATCATATATGGAAGTCCCTTGGGATATTTTTGTGTTTGTCTTGTGTTATCCAGAGTTCATTGAAAAGTTCATACCTTTTGGGTTCACAAATGATGGTTTTTTCTCAGTGAGCCAAGCATGATCCATTAAGTGTGACTAGAGTGAGGAGCTGTCATGAGCAGCCTTGCCACACAGACACTCTAGTTCAAGGTGAGGCTTGGATGAACTTAACAGCTTTTAGTGTAACTACGCAGTACACTCAGCACTTTTTTGGGCGGTAATGCTTTTAGTTTGGAAATATAAATAGAGATGTAATGTGGTATGTGGGAGAGTGTATTTTACATGTTTTTTTGCCTACTGTAGTAGAAATGTCAAATTCCCAGCCACTGTCATGAGAAGCAGTTGACAAAAATAAGTCTTATGGTTTACAGTGTGGTTTACGTAGAGAACATTTCTCTTCACTCTCAGTTTCAACATGTTTTCTAAATTATCATGGTTTGTTGCCGTTTAACTTAAATTAGTTTTTTTAAAGAATAAATAGAGAATATGTTTAATCAAATAAAGAAAGGCCACATTGAAATTCTGCTGTTCCTGCCATTCATTTGTTACCACAAAACACAAATAATTTCTATGTGTTATGAAGAAGTGTGGGCTGAGAAGTGCTCATGTGATTGGGGAGGTTCTGCGTGCACCCATGTTCCCACAACAGAACATAAATTATTTTAGTAATCTGACATCAAGAGCTGTGACAATGAAAACCAGTTCTTACACATGTTCTAACAAGAATCTGATTAACATTTTTGTGGATATGGAAAATAACTTTTTTTTTAGTCAAACTGGCACTATTGCTGAATTTAGAATGCTTTCCTTATGTACTAAATAGCAAAATGTGAATCATGTCTGTGAACAAATATGAGAATAAAATGTCATCTTTGTGTAATACAAAACAACTGAGGGAGAGCTTTGGAGATATAAAATTATTGAATGATTGACAATATCAGGATGATAATTCATCCCCAACGATGAAAGTACATTTTTATAAGTCACTCATGCCTGAAGGCCTCCGACTACCTTAACAAAGAAAAACTAAACCCATGATTTATTAGAGATTGGGCAACATGCCTAATTAAATCCATGAATGGGAGCAGACGCAGCTTTATATCCCCTTTGTTCAGAACAAAAATAACTTCCAGGTCAACCAGAAAGCTAAAAAAATATCAAAGCAATAGAAACAAGTTGTTTAAAAACTAAAAATATGGAAGTAGAAAACACCTCCTCATCCTAATCTTTCTTATCTTGCAAGATAGAATTTTCACTTCCATTTCAAAGTGGCACCAGTGGAGTCCACCTTATAGTCTAATCTCCTGCAAAAGTGGGCCCATGTTACAGGTATAGGTGGCTTTGGTCCTTGCCCCTTCGTTTTCTACGTGACATTCACTAATACATTAAGTCGTGTTTCTCCTTAGGCCTTCTCAAGCGAACTCTGGTACTCTTAGACCGCGACCTCTGTTCTGAGGTGAATGCCTCCTGCCTTTCCCCCTTCTCACTCTGTAAAGATTCCTTTTCTCATCCTCTAACAGTGTCACCTCTGTCTTCACTGGACACTATTTTTTTTCTCTGTCTCTTTTTTTTTTTTTTTTTTTAAGTGGTGCTGGGGATTGGAACCCACGGGGGCTTTACCACTGAGCTACATACATCCCTAGCTTTTTTTATTTTTTGACACAGAGTCTCATTAAGTTGTTGGGGATTGAACCCAGGTGTGCTTTACCACTGAGCTGCACCTCCAGGCCTTTTAATTTTTTATTTTGAGGTTTGCACTAAGTTGTTTAGGGCCTTGCTAAGTTGCTGAGGCTGACCTCGAACCTGAGATTCTTCCGCCTCAGCCTCCCAGGTCATGAGCATTACAGGTGTGCACCACCACACTGACCATGTTTTCTTTTTTGAGAACATCAGCAGCTTGGGCTGGGGATATAGCTCGGTTGGTAGAATGCTTGCCTTGCATCCACAAGGCCCTGGGTTCAATCCCCAGCACCACAAAAAAAAAGAAGAGAAAATCAGCATCTTGATTTTCATATTTCTGTCATCTAAATTCCTCCTTCCATCTGCCTAGCCTCCTGTGCGTATTTTTCAAGTTCATCAAAGCACATTTTTTTCTCTTCCTCTTTCCTATTTCTTCTCTTGGAGCTACAACTATTTATTTAGATACACGTATCTATGAAGGCTCCAGCAGCTTTCTTTGTGTGAAAACTTGCCTGGTTTTTGGTTGTAGGTGTTTGTTGTTTGCTTTTTGAGATGTTGCCCAGGCTGGCCTAACTCAGTACCCCCATTCATGCTCAGCCTCCCGAGTGAGTGGCTGGCACTGCAGAGGCGCCCAGCTCAGGCAGGTTTAATGCCTTCATTTAACATGGCAGGGGCACACTGCATCAATCGTTCTGAACCTGAAGGCTAATTTTAATTAATGCTAAACATGCAGGCTAATTTTTGTATCTTTTCTTCTTGTATCTTTTTACAAGTCATGGAGACAAAACTCAGAAGGCTCTCAGGAATCACCGGCAAGAAGAAGAAGGCTTTTAAAAATTTAAGGAAATATTAAAATCAAGCTTTCTTTGGTACCAATATGTTTTGTTATAGTTACATATTAACTGATAAGTTTTAGGAAAAAACTTAAAGAGACTATGCATACAATCTAGAAGCTGGGAAGTCTTTTCCAAAGAGAAGAAAAACAGGCTGTAAAACACAAAATAGACAAGAAATATTGGGTATGTAAACATGAAGACAATGTGACAGTTTTCTTTCACGACTATTCGAATTCAAGGTAGAAATCAAAGGACATTTTGTACTATTCAGGGGAACAACAAGTCAAAGATATGTGGTTTTTTGTTGTTTTTTTTTTTAAGATATGTGTTCTTAAACATGCACACCTAGTCTCAAAATACATGCATCAACAACTTAAAGAATTGTGGGAAAATATTAAGGCTGCATCAATTTTAATAGTGGGCTTTAACTTGCAGAGAATAAAAGATCAAAAACTTTGAAAAAAAGATTTGGTTAGCAGGATTACTAAATTCAAATGCATATAGAATACCCATGGAACATTCAAAGAGAAATAAGAGAAATCGACTGTGTTCTCAACCACAAAGGAAGTCTCGATTTCCAAAGAACTAAAATCTTAAGATGATATTTCTCCAAGCAAAATGCAATAAAATGAGAAGTCAGTAGCAAAGGGATAGCCAAAACAGCCCTTCCTGAAAGTTAAAAATATGTTAATGTTAGATTGACAAGAAAAATCATATGTATTTATGGATAGATTATTATTATTCTGGGTTCTAATAGGACAAGGAGTTAATCCACTCCTACAACAGAAAATCCTACAAATTTCACTTGATGAAATAAATTAGCCTCAGCTCAGAAGCCCACAGCAGAGGGGAGCAAGGCCAGGGTTGAACCTAAGAGAAGAGACCACCACAGGATCCTAATGGTGGCAGAACATACGTGATACCAGTGAAGATTCCCCAAGGAGAAGGACCGCTGTCAAGAGCTGGTCTCAATTCAGGTGCTGTATTTTGGATATGGAATGTCCCCCAAAGATTCATGTGTTAAAGGCTTGGTCACCAGCTGTGGTGCTGTTGGGAGGTGGAGGAACCCTTAGGAGGTGGCCCTAGTGGAAGGAAGCTTGGTCCATGGGGCTGTGTCCTTGTCCCCAGCTCCAACCTCTTTTTCTCTGCTTTCTGGCCACGGTCAGGTGAAGATCCATGCTTGCCACAAGCTCATGCCACAGTGGTCAGCCTCCCCACAGCCCCAATCTGACAGGGCCACACAACCATGGACTGAACTCTCATCAGAGACTATGAGCCAGAATAAATCTTTTCTCCTTTCAAGTTGTTTATGTCAGTATTTTGTCACAGCAACAGAAAGCTAGAACACCTGGTAAGTCAGAGGATTGGCTACTGGAGAAGTAAAAGGAATCGGCTTGAAGTACCTTGGACCAGACGTGGCAGCTTTGGAAAGGCACTTCTGGAAGAGAACTGGATGTCTTAAAAGGGGAGAGATGTCCCTTGGAGACATGGAAGTGAAATGAAAGACGGAACCAGCTGAAACCTCGGCTCCCAGTGAAACAAGAGAGTATGATTGAATGGTGTCAATATCGTGGTATCAAATCAATAAGAAGCATTTATTAAAGAAACTGCACTTTGCTGTGGCAACAGAAGAGGACACTGTTGAGCTGAGAAACCTGTAAGCCATCCAAGCCCTTCTCTGACCATGCAGTTTTGTCCTGGCTGGTCCAGGAATATCCAAAATAAATAGTCTTAATAGAGAAGGGAATCCTGCATGATCATAAGAAAACAAATGAGGATCAAAACTTTTCAGTTGTCAGCTGTACTTCAGTGGAGCTGGGGAGAAACCAGAAAAAGACCCATTATCCCACTACCCAGAGTCAGCCAGTAACTTCTTACACGCTTGTTTCCTGTTCTTTCTTTTTTCTGTGATTCATAATTTCAAAAATTTTGAAATTAACACAAGTAATACATGAAAATACTATATTTTCATTAAAAATCAGAATAATACACATGGTTAAAATCCCCATGAACCATATCACCCCCTAATCCAGATCCTCTCCCCACCAGTGGAGTTTATCATTTTTATGTATACATATACATGCACCCACAGAATATGTATAAAATTGTCTTGTTTTTTATTTACATAAGTGTCAGACTGCAGACAGCTGTTTATACAACTTACTTTTTTTCACTTTTTTTTTTAAACAGTGGTTTTGAAATGTACCAATCGTTTCCAGTGTCTCGATTACTACAATAAACAAGTCCATGGTGAGAGAGAAAGAAAGAGACCTTTTCAGCAGGATGGAGTTCTGCCCAAGCACTGCTGAATTTGATAGTCCAAACCATCCTTCCAGTTAAGGACAACTAGACAAACTGGAATATATATACATGAACATAAGTACATACATATTTTTATATATTGATATAGAATTTGAAAACACCAGAATGCCTAAGAGCTAACTGGGCTGCAAGAAATTTCAGGGTGCACATTCATAATAAAAATGATGATGGAATTGGGATAGAAGGAACCTACCTCAACATCATAAAGGCTTTTGGTGAAAAACTCAAAGCCAACCTCATAATGAATGGGAAATAACTGAAGTCAATTCCTTTAAAATCTGGGACAATCTCACCACTCCTACTTAATATGGCGATATAAACTCTAGCCAGAGTAATTAGGCAAGAGAAGAAAATAAAAGGGATAAAAAATGGGAAAGGAGAAAGTAAAAATATCACTGTTTACAGATGATATGAACCTACATTTAAAAAATGCAAAAACTCGGGACTGGAGCTGTGGCTCAGTGGTAATATACTTGCCTGGCACGTGTGAGGCACTGGGTTCAATTCTCAGCACTGCATATAAATAAATAAAAGGTTTATCAACAACTAAAAAAATAAAAATAAATAAAAAATGCAAAAACTAACTCCACCAAAAGACTGCTAGAGCTAATAAATTTGGCAAAGCAGCAGGTTACAAAGCATACAAAAATCAATAGCTTTCCTAT